AGGAGGAGGAGAATCCACAGCTGGATTAATTCTTGTTCTCATTTATTTTGTCTATGTCCACTCTGTGACAACGGATAGCATATATAGGCAGCAGCAGAGTAACTGAATGCTGGCTCGGCATTCTTCTCGGTGCAGGTAGCTGCACATTTTATTGAAACGGTGCGTATAAGTAAAGGAAAAGGGATAGGCTGATACGGTGCGTTCCACTTGGCAACGGTCATTTTTTCATGCTGGCAATCCTCCTTAACCAAATTCACCTGCAACACTGGTCTATCTCGTTTCTGCAAATTTTATACGAATTTTCTTTCATGCTCTGCGTTTAGCAATTTAATGCATATGGACTCGGTAAAAAGAAGAAGAAAGACGGGAGAAAATTTTATTTGCAGATCGATCATGGCACGTACAATCTAGGAAGCGTGGGAACCACTTGATGATCAAATCATTCACTTGGAATTCAAGATTAGTGGCATGATGGAGAGGTATATATGTATGTGGGGTCCAATACGTGATTATTATTCTTCTAAAATTTAGAAGAGTATATGTGCCTTAAAACGCCACCCTTCCTTTTACTCCACTCACGGTCTCTCCGAACCCAAAGAAAAGCACAGCCTCACAGCTCACGGGCTCCTCCCTGTCCTTTCCCATGATTGCCTCATGATCTTTGTTTCCTATGATCGCCTTTACGCGTCTCACCGACTTCGAGCCTGCAGAAGAGTTCGTTCGGAGTTCGGACCCCATTAATTTGGCTCTATAACTTGGTTGTTTTAGAATTACATGGCATGCTAAAAAAGTACTAGGAAATTAATATTATTTGAATTGTTTAGAATAACGGTTTAATACAACTGTTATTAAAAATAATAGTTATTTTAAAAATTATATGTTTCTCAATTTAATTAATATATAAAAAATCAACTTAAAATTTTATAAAAAATCAATACTCAAAGAATAAGATTTAAAACTTAAAGGGCAAGAAATAATAAATCACGGGAAATATATTAGAGTTCTGTTTTCAACGCTTGATATCGTTAGAAAATTTTTAATGAAATAATTTTGATTATACTTTAAAAGAATATCAAACATGATTATAATTTATTAAAATTTTTATTTGATATTAATTTAGGGTTAATTATAATAAAATTTGCTTCTTACTATAGAGCATTTAAACTTTTAAAAAATACCTTATTCTATTTAATATAAAAATAATCACATATTTTTGTAATTGTGATCAATTCAGTCCGTAGAAACCACAAGGTTAATTTTCTTATGATCCCTCTCACGAAGCTAAAAAGCTCGATCATGGAAAAATTACATGGCAGCCACTTGTCCTCCACGGGTGGGTGATGTTTGCCACCAACATGGTTTTGAGCTTTCAGTAGTCAAGAATAAACTAGTGCCAGGACAGCGATGGTGAAGGCCTAGCTACCAGCTAAAGGTCTTAGGTTGATATGGAAGCAACAACGCTAATCAGTCACCTGTCTGTCTTTCTTGCTTGCTAAGGACACTGAATGATGTTTAACAAAATGGGTACAGGAATGGTTTGTTTTAGTATTTTAATTGTATTTAAAAAAAAATATTATTATTTTTTTAAATTATTTTTATATATATTTTTAAATCATTTTAACATGATAATGTTAAAAATAATTTTAAAAAATTAAAAAAAAATTAATATATTTCTAAAAAAAAATTAAAAACAACTTCAAGCATTTCTAAATTAAACTTAAATTAAATTAAAGAAGTGTGTATTAAATTAAATAGAGGGTGTCGGGGCTTTATCAAAAGGGTTAAGCAGGAATGATCAAGGACGGGGCCATTGCAATTATCTGGATGGAACGTCTTCTCTTCTATATATTGCTTTTTGGTTAAGATAAGAACATCTTCTTGAAAATATTACAGTGCCAAAGCCAAACATCCCCAATGATTTTGCCAATTTCCGTTAAAAAAACATTATCTTTAGGACGTTTAGAAAAATATGAAATTTTCTATTTGCATGAACAGATTTATGATGCGATTTCCAAGGGGGCTCCTTGTTTCCCGTCTCACTATTTCAAGCGAAACCAACACCTGTGCACCTGCGTTGTTTCTCTCAAACTCTCTTCATTATTGTCAGTAGTAGTTTTAAAATATTAAACACCAAGAAAAGTAAATGGATTCATCTTTTTTTCTTTTTTTAATAGTAATATCATTAAGATTTAGCCAATGCCATTAAAGAAATAACATGAATTCATCTAAAGCTAAGCGGATTGTATGATCAATCGTCCATTCTTAAAGCAGATTCTACGTGAGCAGGCTATTTTTGAAGCGTGTATTATGCTTACAAAGCTGCTTTCAGTAAAGTGATGCTCTGTTGTTTTTAAAATAATTGAACATGGGACTCATGGTTTGTACTTGGTGATGGAGAGGATAGAAGAGATTCTCATCTAAACAAAAGGGTTATTCTTTGTGAAAACCCTAGGTTGTTGTTTAAAAGAGAGAAAAGACAAAGCCATCTGCCAACGGGGTCAGCAATTCCCATCTGGACTTTGCCTCTGCAACGAAGATGTTAACCTAGTTTATATATATTTATGGTTCGGTTGGTATTCTTCTACACGATTCGTTCTAAAAATCAAATAACAGGTGATAAGCTTCTCCATAGATTTCTAGGAGTGATGGGGCCCTGCTGCCTTCCATGGAGTGGTTAAATTAAGCGCCCTTCGTCGTCTCCTCCTTGTTCACAGAAAAAGAAATGCTAGGAGCGTCAGCATTGAATGAAGATCGATCCAATCCTTGTAAGGTGATTAATTCTCTTTGTTGACCAACTCCAATGAGAAATAAAAGATGAAGACGTGTGTATGAGATTGAGGATGGTAGGTGTGATAGACATATTCCATGCAATAGCTAGATAATCCATTGAGATCAGAGCAACTAGTTAGCCATTATTTCTTGAACGAGAATATTTGTACGTCACCTGTTTAGCGTTCTTGCTAACAAAAGGGACCTGGCACCGTCCTATACAATAGCTGAATATATAATCAATTTCGATGCAGATAATTATCTGTTTTCAATCTAATATCCAGATAAATTTAATTTCCGCATGCCAGAAATGATAATATATATGTAGATAGACATGAACAATTGATCTCTTGTGAAAATAACTTAAAACATATATACTTGGGTGTGGAGGATCGATCGAGAAATAAAATCATTAATGCATTAATTAAAATATCACAGAAAAGAACCGAAAAAGAACCAAAAGCAAGCATCATTTTCCAAAGAGAAAATCATATTTTAAGGCTATAGACAGGCTTCATTCACCTAGCCTTGCACATTGTAGACAATAACCAGCTCAGGAGTGTTAAAAATAAGAAACTTCTGATAGAATGTATGATTATAACCAATCAATTAAAATGTATATATAGTAATAAAACCAAATAATTATGAAATAAATTGCAATATTCAATTATTCAAAATATTTAATTTCATTAATTGATGTGGCAATTGATTTTTTCTATAATTGATGATTGTATTGATTGGATTAGAATCCAAAATGTACTACCTTGATTTGTTTTTCTAACATGCCTCCTCAAACTTTTAGAGATTTTAAACAAAAATATTTATAAATTTAATATCTATATTTAAAAGATAATAATTAGATATTGATGATCATTAAAAAAAAAAACCTCAATAGACCAAGGGTATTCAAGCAAATAATAACTACAAAAAAAAAATTATATGGGACAATATTTAACTCTTTGTAAATAAAAATAATTCAAGTCAAATTTTACTCGAGTTTATAACATGAAAAATCTAGGGGTTAATACTTCATAAACAAAGAAATGCCATAAAAAACATAATAGGAAAATAAAAAAAAAGGTTTTTAAATTGTGATTCTCCTGACTATATATATAAACACTATAGTAAATTATAGGATTGGAGTTTAAATCACTTGATTAATAGTTTTCTTATTGGAAAAAATAAAGGTGGTTAATAAAAGAAATTTCCAATAAGAGATCTATCTAATAATAGAAAGAAAATGACAAAAATAAGAAGGGTTAACAAAAGAAAGTAAATAAATATTAGGGCCCCGTTTGTTTGCAAGAAAGTTGTTTCCTTTTAGAAAGTGAATTTCGGAGAAAATAAATTCCTGAAAAGTAAAGTATTTTCCGATGTTTGACAGTGTTATGGAAAATGAACTGGAAAACACTTTCCAGTGTTTGGTTATGTTATGGAAAATGAACTGGAAACTAATTTATTAATATTTTATTTTTCTCAAGTTTATTAAAATAATAAGGAATAAATCTTACAAATTAAAAAGTTGAATAATAATGAAATTGAAAAAAAAATTCATAAATTATCTCAAATAAAATAAATAATAATCAAAATAATAAAGATCAAATCTAAAAAAAAAATAAAAAAATTAAAATAATAATAATTAATATTTTATAAAAGAATTTCATAGAAGAAACTAATGGTCAATCGGTAGCAAAGAAAACTGTTTGCTAATAAGGCAAAAAAAAATATTAAGAAAACTTAATATAGAAAGATCGATTGCTTTAATACTATATTAAAAATGAGAGACTTTATTAATAAAATACACAGATATAATTAACCATTTAATATATATATATATATTTTAATTTTTAATAATTTAAAATCATTAATTTTGTCTTTTTGATGTGGCGCTTGATTTCCTCTATAATTAAATGTTGAGACGTTCTTCAAATAGTAAAAATAGAAGTTACTGTGTGGATAGTGTCATTTGACTCATTCCAAAAAAAAAATTACCTCAGCGGTTTAAAAAGTTGTAAATTGGCAAAAGTTTTGGAGTAAATCCCTGAAATAGAAAAACTAAAAGTAGAGATATTGAAATATAAAAAGGTAAAAGATAGAAATCCTAAAATTGCAGTTCACTCAAATTTCAAAATTCAAACTGGGAAAAGCAAGTAACGGCGTCTAATGACAGAGCGAACAACGACCAGAGGCACTTAAAGACAAAAAAAGACTATAAAAGAAACCAGTAACAGAAACACAGAAAACACAGCTCCATAAGGCAAACAGAACGCGAAGGACAAAAGCCAAAAAAAAAAAAAAAACACAAACCTTGGTAAGTTTTCAATATTGTTCCTCGACAGATCGGGGTAAAAAATGTGAGTTCTTTACGAAATTTGACACCCTCTGATTCAATTTCTCACTCTGGATCTGTTTCTCATCCTACATTGCATGCATGGAATGTAATGTGGGTTTGAATTCATCAATGCATTTTGCTTTTACGAACCTTTCGGTGTCGTTTTGCTAGCTTCTTATCTTCTCTTCGACTTAGCAATGGTTTTCTTCTCGGATACCTACTGGAAAATCTAGTTTTCTTTATAAGTTTGGAAAATAAATCTGGTTCTATGTATGTTTGATTGCTGAGAAAATGCAGCACAGGAAACTGACAGAAAATTGAAGCTTTATTTTTCCAAGTACAGCGGAGTTCTTCCTAGAGAGTGGAAATTATTGCGTTTCTTTGAGATTTATGGGATGCTTATTGTTTAACAAGAGTCTCCTTCTTTTCTTTTCCCAAATAGGTTGTATGAGTGCTGTTTTTTCCGCTGTGTATCATTTTCCAGTATGAGATGATTTGTTGTTAAACTCTTCTTGAAAAACGAATAAAGCTATTTCCTTTTTGAATGAAATAATTTGCTCAGATGAAATAATACAGATTGGATTTATTTTTATTTTTTGGTTCTCCCTTTTGCTTGAATGGAAAATGGGACTTTTTTCTATTTCTGGTTTCTATGTTTTGTTGGGTCTGTCTACTTGGGTTTATTGTCATAATTACGAATTGGGCATACCTATTTTGTTAACTTCCTATTCTATGGTGCTCATTAATTTATGTGCCTCTGTTACTCTTGTTGTCAAGGAATTTGATTCTGTGTGTTTGCTGCTTCTTTTTCTTAAATAATTTGCATAAATTTGCATGCTTGTTAAAGCTACCATGGATTAAGGCAGGTAAAGGGATGGCTAGAGAGATGAAATTGTTTAGCTTCAGATGGTTGGTGGTCTTTTAACACTGGCGTTGTAAGAATTTCTAAAATAAAGGGGGGAAACTGAGGGGGATGGAGTAAAGGTTCTCCTGTGACACGGATATGCAACAGGGTATGATTATTAATGTGATTCTTGTATGTCTTGATCCAGTGAAATGGGTATAGAAGTTACTGACATCTGCATGGACAAGGAGCCAGACTGTGTCATCGTATATTCAAATGGTGTCTCCCATGATCAAACTCACGAGACTGTTCCTCATGATCATGGTGTTCTGGAGTCCTACGAACCTATCAATGGGGTTCCTGAGCTCCATAGTTCAGAGGAGAGTACTGAAGCAAAGGAATATGAGGTGAAGGAATGTACCACTGAAGTCTCAGTTGAGGTTACTGAACTTTCCCATGCTGATAAAAGCAAGGAAGGGCAGCATGTTGTATGCTCGAATTTTGAGGATGGCTTAAAAGTGAAAAAGGTTAAAGCAGTAAACAGAAAATCAAAGGATATTGGCCAACAAAAATCATCTATAAAGCGTGTATCAAAACCTGCTTCTGCTGCCATTGCTCAAACAAAACACACCGTTCCTCAGCCATTTGCCCTAGCAACTGAAAAGCGTGCTTCATCAGGAATTCGTCCTTCTGGGCCTGAACCTGATATCACCAATGGTGTGAACAAATCATTCAAGGCAAACAATGTATTACGTCCAAACCCTACGAAGCAGAACCAGGTATGGTGGCTGACCGTAAAATTGTTAGTAATTATTAATTTAGCCTTCTAAGGAAGCTCATGTAGCAGAATCAACTGCTTACTGCATAGCTTTCAAAGTAGATATGTTTTTATTCTCAAAAAAATAAAAAAAGAAGAAGATATTTTTCAGAATGCGGTGGTGAACTGCAGATATATTAGAAAATCATGTCTTAATATAATTAAGGGATTGGAAAACTATACTCCTAGTTGATACTGGAATTCTTGTTTGCTTAACTGCAGCCACTTTCAATGTCAAGGAAGCCATTGCAACCAAATAATAAGAAGCATCCAGATGAGGAAGATAATTGTTCTGTCACTTCCTCGTATCCTCTTTCTAGCAGATTAAGTTTGAACTAGATTCTTTTGTTCATTTCTTAAACTTTTGTCACCTCTGTTGCTCGATTTCTGTTTTTGAAATTGATTTCATTCCTTGACGCTGCATAGTACCGCAGCATCTGCACGGCCTATTATGTCCAAGGCAACTGCCGTAGCAGCCCCTGTATTTAGATGCACTGAACGGGCTGAAAAGCGGAAGGAGGTGCTGCCTCGATCTCTTTGTTTCATTCAGAGTTGAAGTTCTTTTTTGTTGTTTTCTTTTTTTTAATGCAAGTTTTTGGGATCGAAACATACCTGAAGGCCAAGACTCATAACAATTTCATTATGTTTAAATCTTTTAGTTCTATTCAAAGTTAGAGGAAAAATATCAAGCATTGGAGGCCGAGAAAACCCAAAGTGAAGCAAGGACCAAGGTAAAGTACTTAAAGCAGCTTGATAGTAAAGGGTAGTTAGGAGTGACTCAGTCTATATCGCGTGTCAAGTTTAGTGGTTGACATTACATTGTCAAAGCAAATGATACATGTTTCTTGATTTGTCTTTTCAACGTGACAAATTTCAAGGAAGAGAAGGAGGCAGCCATCAAGCAACTAAGGAAGAGTTTGACGTTTAAGGCTAACCCAATGCCAAGTTTCTACCATGAAGGGCCACCTCCAAAGGTTGAACTAAAAAAGGTAGTGCATATAGATTCATCACACACCCCCGCCCCCCCCCCCCCCCCCCCCCCCCGGGCTGTTCTAGTAAAGATTTATCGAACAGGTTTCTGGGATGGTATTTTTTAACTTTAAATCATCAGAGTATGTAGCGGTGACTGATGACAAAAGATCATGTACAGATGCATGTTTCCCAGGATAACAAGTTTATTATGATTTATATCTTGACAAATGTGCCTTCATCTGAATGTCAGCTGCCACCAACACGTGCAAAATCACCGAAGTTGGGCCGAAGGAAGAGCTGCAATAATAGAGTGAATTCATCTCAGCCAGACGAAGTGAAAAGAGATTTCAATGATGAAAAAAACCAAAGTCAGGATAGTTCCAGAGAAGATACCAGCAACCATGTTTCTCAGCATGGTGTCCTGAAAAGCCATGCCATTAGCAAATTTGAAGATGAAACCCAGCAAGCAGAAGAGAAAGATGAGCCGAGTCCACCCGATGAGGTTAATGGGCAGAGTTATGCAGGCATTGACGTTCAGTTTTAATATTGTGGTGAGCTCTTAATTCTTAATTTTTAAGAGACAAAAGGTCCCAATTCTCTTTCTACGACGGCTTGAAGCATGTGAATGTTGTTCCCCTTCAAGTTGCAAAGACCTGTTGCAATGTTTATGTAATTTATGAAGTGTAAATTTTCTCTAACTTATAATATCTATGCAAAGCGTTCCCGTTTTGCACTCTTGTTGAGTAATCTTTTTTTCCTGACGGAGCACCTACTCTGCTTTCTTTCTCTGTTTGAAGCGCATGGTTAGGAAAATATGAAACAAGATGCCGATCTTCCAGTTTTTTATCCTGTTTTACTCGAGCTAGCTGTTTCTTAAATCTTTGTGTATACTCTGATAATGGGGTCGTTGAAAAGGGAACAGTTGACGTTGTAACATTTGGTAGAACAATAGAAAATTTGAAAAACTGTTCTCGGTGGATGCTGATTTTCGAATCAAGAAAATCTAAGAAGATGGGTCAATATGCTCGATGATGCGAATGACTTATTGTTGCATGACCCGCAATTGAGAGAGGGAGAGGGCGTAAAGTTGAGGAAGGAAATGCTGTGCTGTGTTAAATCGGTGCATGCTTAAGGTTGTAGTAAATGAAGAGAAGATACCCGAAGGGCACATGGGTGTTTTTCGGTTAATCAAGCAAGAATTCTAAACACAAGCATGCCCCATTGGTAGTGGGAGAATTAATCAATTTATCCTTGCACTCTCAAGCCAGTCTCATCTAATCCTGAACTTCTAATCCAATCTTGGAAAAAAAATTGCTTAAAATTCAACAGATGGGAAGCCAACAAGTGGGATATAGACGGGCTTCTGGTGTTCCATGCACAGCTTCAAATGGATCGAATTTCGTCAAATTTACTTGAACAGAACAGGAGGACGTGTTGGAGATCTCACTGGAATTTAGGAACACGATGGATAAGATTACAATATCCAAACAAAGCCCATTTCGATGAGGACAATGCCAGAAAACAGTCCTCTGAGTCCAAGTGCCCTGCCTCTATTTAAAGAATAGTCGTGACTCGTGATGTATCTCGCAGTCAAACTAGAGGTGGACATGGGACCTCAGCGTGACGCCATTCTACTTCTCCTTTTATTATTATTTTTATTAGTTTACAAGTTTTAGGATTTACTAGTATTTAAACTGAGTTTTGTCAGAATAATTATTTCTATCAAAAAATTAAATATAAAAGTTTTTTTAATGTTATATTTTATAAAAAAAATTATAATTATAAATAAAAAAATTTATACATATATTTAATTAAATAAATTAAAAATCATTATTAACATGTATATTTTATTCACCGAGCCACGAGTTGAATAATTTTTTTAGTGAAAAAATAAATAGATAAATATTAGTAATATATTTTTAACATCGAGTTAAAAATATAATTATAAATTAAAAGATCAATACTTATACATAATATAAAATAAATATTTTAATAAAAACATATAAAATATCATGTTAATTTTTAATATGGTAGAAAAATAAAATAATATTTCAATTGTTACAATGAAAAATGATTTTCTTATTTTTTGTATAATAATTTTTAAAAAAAATCTAAAGAAAAAAATTACAAAAAAAATGAAGATAAGAGCTAAAAGAAAGATATAAATAAGTTTGCTGTGGAGTGATAAATATTTCAAGTGTAAAGAATAAAAAATAATATTTTTTAAAAAAAATTATAAAGAAAAAAACTAAATATTAAAAAAGAATAAAGATAAAAAAAAATGATGATAAATAAGCTAAATATAACTTGAGAAATATATCAAATATAAAGAGAAAAAAATCTATGCAAATTCTTTTTTAAAAAAATCAAAGAATTATAGATTTCTCATTATTATAGTAACAGTTATTGTAAAAACAATTAAGAAAATTACAATTATGCTATTTCTACTGTGAAAAACGATTTTTTTTTTAGTATATGTATAATAATTAATACCCTAACGCGTAATAACCCTGATGTAGCAGTGTAAAGGATAAATTCTTCCTTTGCTTTCTTTTATTTTTTGTTTCATTTTAAAGTTTTGAATTTTTTATTTTTTTATTTTTTTTAATTTCATGAATAACAATTCCTCCTGTAAAAATACTTGTGTTTATTTATCGGAACTATCAAAAACAATTTAATAGATTCTAATGAAGGATAAGGGAATACATGTTTTTTCTTCAATTCAGAGGATCATATGGGTGCCATGTTTGTGCGTCGTAAGCATGGAATCGATAAATGAACCAAACTCTGTAGTTAAATAATGGCTTCGCATTCCAGGATTTCAAGAAGACTTCGCAGACGTCATGTCTTGGTGAGTGCACTCGGGTTGTCACGCCATGGAATGCGCCTGCAGTCAGGAGGATGCTCTATCATGGCAGTTTCTGCCATTATATTTTGAAATTATTTTAAAAAAATTTAATTATTTTATATTTTATTTTAAATTAATATATTTTTAGATTATTTTGATATGTTAATATCAAAAATAATTTTTTAAAAATAAAAAAATATTATTTTAATATATTTTAAAATAAAAAATACTTTTAAAAACAACTGCTATTACACCACTAAGTACTATAAAAAAAAAACTAAATATAAGCTCGGGCTACATTAAGAGTAAATGTTATTTTTTTATAAAAAATAATATTTAGATACTATAAAAAAAACTCAACAACTAAGGTTATAACCCTAACTAATTAAATAATTTGATTATATTTTAAACACATAATAACAAATAGGCAATGATAGCAAACAAACAAAAATTATATAAATAAGCGATGAGAATAATGTGAGAAACAAATTATTTTTCAAGAGCTAAAAAACAACAACGTAGTTTAATTTTTAATTAACTAAATATAAAATGATAAAATTAAATAAAAAAATAAAAAAAAGAATAAAGTCAACTCAAGTTAATATAATAGACATGCAACTTGGGTTATAAGAGTCGAGTCAAGCTAGGTTAATCCTAGAAAATAAATCGAAGAAAACTACAAAGTTATTTAAAAAAATAATATCAAATGATGAAATCAAAAAATAAAATAAGTCAGAAAAAAAAAAGATGGCAACCTCATTAACTCTTCAAACCCGTGATATATGTCATTAGACTAAAAATACCATACATGAAAAAACAGCGAAGCTCAATCCCTAACAAATCAAATGTTAAAGGATGAAATCGAGAAAAAAAATTTCATAAAAAGATCTAAAATAAAAAATAGCAATTAAAAAAATAAAGATAAAACAATAAAAAATAAATTAGAGGAAAATTAAAGGATAAAAATAAAAATAAAAATAAATTTACCAAAAGTATAAGAAAAGTAAAAATAATGAGAATCAGATAAGAAAAAAATAATATATCATAAATCTAGATTGAATAATAAAAATTTTACAAAAAGATCAAGAAAAAAAATAAGAATTAAAAGAATAAGAATAAAAAATTTTAAAAAAATAATACATGAAAAATTGGGATTAAATGATGAAATTGAAAAAAAAATTACAAAAAGATCAAGAACAAAAATTAAAAATAAAAAAATATAGACTGGAGTTGAAATGTCAATAATAAAAAGAATCAAGCTGTAATTTTTAAAGGAAAAAAAAATAATAAAAAATTTCACTAACAACAAACCACCTCATTACCATTGACTAATGCTACATTAATAAGAAAAAATGTGATGGTGTTTTCAATAACATAATAAAAGGATATTTTTAGTCGTAGGGCATTGCATATGCTTTTTAAAGTGAGCGAATATCATCAATGTGCCAACAATTTTTTATATTTAAATAATATTTAATCTACATAATAAGATCAAATAATCCCTAATGAAATTAGTAATAATAAAAAAAAATTGTAGCAAAAAATCCAAAATATTGTAAGAGGTCCTTGACGCTCTTTTATTTTTTAATTTTAAGAATAAAATTGTTTTTTATTGTGTCTCAAAAAATTAAAAGACTTGAATATCCTTATATGTTAATTCTTTTAAGAATAATTGAGTTATTTAACTGTATTTTAAAAGAAAAAAAGACATGGGTTGTATGAAAAAATCAAAATATTTTCAATATCAAGTTTTTTTTAAAAAAAAAACAATAATTACACTATATCAGGGAGTCTTTATGCTCAGTGAATTTCCCCTTCTTTTTTTTTTTTTTGTGGTTATACCTTCAAATACTTGTAATTGCTTCTACTTTTAGGTCGTTTTGTCCCATTGCATCATTCATTTTTCCAACGGGTGAAAAGGTTGATTGTGATTGAGAAGGAAAGGATGTACAAGGCTCGTAAACAAAATGAGGCAATCCACCTAGCTGTACGTCCCCCATTGGTCATACACCACCTGCCTACTTCTTGCAAGCAGTTCCACTTAAAATGTTCATTGGTTGCTCAAGCTATCTGCTTTCAAGCTGTGATTTTACTAGAAGTGCTGCTGATTTAGTAATCTTTGGAATGACAGGTTTCCTTGGCCTATGCAGTGGGGCAACGAATTATAAAACTTTTCATCTGGTGCGTACCCAGAAACAAAAATTTCCAACGTAGAAATGCGGTTCACATTTTTTGAATCTTTGTAATTTGACAATTGGCCTTTGAATGCTTTAATGGGGCATTGATGCCCAGTCTTAATTCTGTGTGAGATCTTAATATATATGACGCAAAATGTCCCAATTTCTCTTGTTTTTGGTGATTGTTCTGAAGAATGTTAAAGTCGCCCCTTTATAAGTTGCAACGGCTTGTTTCCTTGTTTATGGAATCCATGAAGGGTAAGTGATTTTTCTGCAACTTATGATTTCTATATAAACAATTCCCTTTTTTCTGCAAACAGCTTGGTCTCGAACTTTTTATTTAGAACACAGGAGAGTGTGGCACAAACTGCTGGTCTTCCAATATTGATTTTATTTTATTTTACGTATTTGAATTATCTGATTTAACTTTTCTATCAATCCGAGAACTAGAAAAGAAATGGAAATTGTCCATTTGGTAGAAAAACTTGAACTTAACGAAGATTTTGTGTACTTAATAGTCGTTTGTTTGATTGTGTTCTTGAATGGGGTATGTCACACGCAGACAGGGGATGGAAAGTTAGGGAGGCAGGGACAGGGGGTCCCCCGATGCTGGGCTGTGCTTTGTTAGAGTGGAAATTTGTGCCTTTGCCAAATCTTTGTTTTGCATAATTGTAGTAAGCGTTATCATGAAAAGCTCTTAAAGCAAAATAAAATAAAATAAAAGATGCCCATAGAGAGTAAAGCACCTTGTGTTCAAGTGTTTTTGGTAATCAAACAGCAAAAGGAGACTTTCTTGCGGTGAGAAAAAAAATATTGCTGGTCAAAAGGACTTGCATCAAAATTGGGTCTACTTTAAGCTCTGGAATGGCAGGGCAGCTGTCAATTTTTTGTCCCAAATGTTGTTGCATTAAGAGATTGTCCCAAATTGTGCATCCACGAAACAGGGTGCTCAAGAAATGAGAATTCACAAATCTGAGAGCTCAGGCAGTGCTGTTTTGACTAATCAGATGATTCAATCTTGTCCAATACAAGATTGCCCGTGGCTGCTGTGATGGATTCCAGACAGATTCTCAGATTTTGTAGTAGATGGGGTTTTTGCCATTCTTCTAGTTAGACGTTGCTGTTTGCTTGTGTTCCTGTTACAATTCCTCGATTTTTCGTAATGCTTTCGTATAGGGTGAGCTCCTGCCTCGTAGTTTTGATGATCAAAACCTCCTTTATATCAAAAGGAAAAAAATCTCTGCCACTGAGAAAACTCGTGTAAAACCTATGCCTTGTACCAGAACTGTTAGGTGTCTAATTTCCATTCTTTTTATGTAAACCCAATCGAAATCGAGTTTAGCTTTAAGCTATAGAACGCTGGGAGTGAAAAAAAAATGTTCGGATGTGATCGAAGAAATAATTAATTAAAGTTAAAAAAAAAAAACAGACATGGTTTTTAATCTTTTATAATTTTTTTGTCTTAGTAAATAGTGACGCATATAAGAAATTTGTTGGTCAATAGGAACTCTAGTTCTCTGTTAATGTCTTTTTCTCATATTTTTGTAAGGATTAAGATAAAGCACTTGCGTCTTGCAATAATATGTTCTTGAAATAGTTATTTCACTACAAGCGAGCATAAACTTATTCGAATTTGTTCTTAGGAAACGATTTTAAATCTATTTAATCGACTAAAGAGTGAATATCTCAGCTAGCATACGCAAGCCAGTCAAACTTCAACTCGTGGTTACCTTTTACAGATTTCCAAAGAACACTTCATTGTATGCGAAATGTTCTATTCTTGAAAACTGGTGTAGCGAGTGGGTTCGTTTTTTGATTTCCACTTTATCATCTCGATTTTGAATCCATGAGATAGGTTGTGAGAGGGAGCCTGCTTATGAAAGCGTTGGTGCTGATGTTCTGTTTTGAATCTCATCGAGGAAGTACTTAGTCCTTGTGTAAAGCTGATACAATAATATATAGACAATTTATAAATAAATTAAAAAGCAAATTGTTCAGTTATGAGGCTTCTGACATGGATGATGTTGCTAGCCCTGGGCATAAATATCATCAGTTTTCATATTTTCCCACTGTTCGGATTCTGGTTTAAGGGAGAAGGCCTTGGGACTTGTGGCCGCAGGAGCATAATGGTTTGAGAAGTAGACTGCTATGTTTTTTCCCAGTTTGTTCGAGGGAGAACAGGAGAAGTGGTATTAGGAAGCGTGCCGTATTACAAATTACAATCTAATACTTTCTCTTCTCTCTTTTTTATCAGATTTTACCACTGTATGTCGAGCAGAAACGCATTATTGTTAGACGAGGAGGACATTACTGTTATCTTTCATGCACTAGATATGGTATTGGACCCCAACAGCATGTGCAGTCAATGGCTCAGCTTCAGTGCTCTGTAAGCAGAGGACTTCAAAGCTGTTTCTCGTAGCAATGCCATGTATCTTTAGTGTCATTTTCCCATTCCTTTTCCCATCTCTACCAAGCCAGTTGATCCTTGATCTTTTAGTAACAGATGGTTCATTAAAAAACTGAATAGCAAGCGGTCAACTTTTACAAACATGGCAATAACCATGTTACACAGTATGCATCACTTAATAAAACCTATTTCCCCCCTACTTTTTCCTCTCATGCCCACTCCTCCACCCTTCTTTATGGCTCTGTTCAAAGCTTTAACAGGCCAACCTGTATTTCTTTACATTTAAGCTTGGAATCGAACTGTTTAGGGAAAACATTGATGACAAGCTTCTCTCACTTCCTATCTACCCCTTTTTCCTCAAGTGGGAAACCAAAAGAGATATCCTTTAAACACCCCTGTCAAGATCATCATGCATCAACGAGTCCCATTTCTTTACCGGGTTTTTCATTTCATTATAAGTTATCCAATACGAGATATTATTAATTAGTTCCTTAAGAAGTGATTAATAATGGGATTTTTTTTAAAGTACATTTCTTTAATTTACAAACGAGTAAACCTTATTCCATTGGATAATCAATTTGCATATGAGATGTGCTGATGAGAGGCGAGGCAGGCGGGAGAAAGTTTATGGTATGCTTCTGTTATTCGATAGATACGGACAAAAGTTCTTGTTTTGACCTCAATTTTGTACGCAAACCCCTGCTATTTGAGCCCAGTTATTATCAATCATTGACAAGTGTCCTCGATTTTCTCCGCCAAACTAGGTGTTTGTATCATTCAACTCTCAATCCGTAATATATACACTCAAAATCCTTGTACTTGTACAAAGGATTAATTTTTGTTTCGTTCAGATGCCAAGACATTCCAAAAATGTTAAAAGTTGTACAGTTCAATCCCTATATAGGTAGAGAGGATCACAATTTGCGTGCAACAAGCAAAGTGAATATTTGGGTACTCAAAGCAAACAAAGCCAAAGTTTCTTCTTTAACACCCTGTGAAAGCATGATTAGAAGGTAGGAAAGCTGTAGAAAGTGGGACTCCATGTCAATATATGACCCACAAAAAGATACTTACTCATAGTTTATTGTTAACTCATCCTCAGCTCTCACGTATATAAGGGCCCATGAAAGAACAATGCATGGCCAAATATCAAACAGTCTCTCTCTTTCGTTGCTACACAGTTGAGGGTAATGCTGTCTGGTTCGAGACCATTCACCTGAAGCGCACGCATTCATCTTTTGAGTGATCTCGGACCAGGCTTCATTCCCCCCAACTCAAAATCACAGGCTAATTAACCTCTTGGCTAGCTGGAAACCCTTAATTACGCAACTTCAATCAATGGCCTGATATCTTTAGCCCACTACAGTTCTTGACCTCTCAAAATCTGGCAATCTTGCTTTATGTTCAGTATTTCAATTTGTGTCTCTTTTTTATATTCTGTTCGCAGCTCGTAAGAAAGCACCAGTGAAGATCAATGAAACACGTACATACATGTACAATTGAGGCTAATTAAAGAATCGGATGTGATCATCTAGCTGGCTAGAATCAGGATATTTAAACAGGTATGCCATGTTAAAGATTTCTATTATACAGTAACTTTTCTGGTGATAATTTTACACACACACACACAACTTCCTTAGCGATTTTCTCAATATTGATTGTTAAAATGCCTTCGAAATTGCAGTCAAGAGGGACCTGCTCTGACGTAACAAGCTATATCCTAGATGGATTAATTAAGGAAGTTCTACTTTTACTGCAATGGCGTGTCTGTTTGTGTGCTGAACCATTCAACTAGCCAAAATTAGGGAGGGTGCTGTAAATAAGCACCTAGCTAGTTGTGGTTCTCTTTTATTTCAAGAAGCCAAGTTAATTGATTGAGACAATCACGCCATCAAAGATAAAGCATGCATCACTCAAGAAGAAATTTGCTACAGTTTCACTTACTCTTTGAAAAACTTTGAGGCGTTGGAAAAAGAAAAAAAACCATTCAAAAAGAATTTTTCTTGGAGTTTGGTTCCAAATGCCACCTCTAGCTAGTCTGCACGACCTTTCTTTGTTCTTTACCAAATTCGTTGAAAAACAGAATCGGTGTCTAGTGTGAAAATCTGACTCAAAAGAAAAAAAAATGCAACAAACAGAGATTGGGCAGATTGGCTTTGCTTGTAGAGAGTTGCAAAGAATATTGAAGTTTGTAGTTGCTTTCACTTTAAGTGTTGCATGAGAGGAGTGTCTGCTGCCAAATTGAGCTTTGAACTTGCTCCTTTTTGCCTTACGACTGCCATCATAACCGAGCTCCTCAGTCATTAGCAAATTCCTTCCTTTTTAATGCCATGTGGGTCAGTCATCTGCTATCCCACCATGTGGGTCTGTTTCTACGCATATCTTGTTCCTTGCCCATGATCTGATACACGCCATTTACTTCTTGGATCATGTCCCCTGTGGGTTTGATCAGCATAAAAAAATAGCTAGCCACCATGTGATTGTGTTGATGGCTGTGGCAAGTCGTAAATTCACAAAAGACAGGGATTATATACGCATATAATCAGTAATAATCTATTTAACTTGCAACCTTTTTGTCTGATATGATCATAATCATCGAGCTCATAATCCTATCATAACACAGTAAAATATAGATATAAATATTGATCTAATATCGGCATGCATTTGGCTGTCCTGTATGACACATGTATGAGTAAGAAGGTGTGAATACTAATTATAAAGAATTTGAATACGTATTTTAAACATCTTTTATAAATATTAATTATTTTAATGAATAATTAATAAAAAAACAATTACTCCTACCATCTACAGTTATCAATACTATATATATATATATATATATATTAAGCAGTAATTTTCATATTCATTAAGTTTTGAGAATACCAATATATGTAGTTTTTGCTATATTTTATGATTAAAAAAAAAGGAAATCATGTATAAACTTTTCTATATACGGTTATTATACGAACCAATATACATAAACCAATACCTAGGCAAGATCTGGCTTTACTTTTCATGGAATTTTGAAGCTCATAATCTGTCCGTACACTAAAGTCGTCGAATCATTTTGTTTGTATGAGAATCATAGGAAAGGATATGATTTTTGTATACAATGGATAGGAGAGGCACATGAAACTTTTGAGTCCATGGATAGAAGAGTCAAAAGAGAAGAGAGACATCTTGAGTGTGAATGGCAATTGCCAAGAGAAAAAAGTATTCCCTATGCTCGATAAAGCCCATATTCTATACTTTTTGCTACTCTTTCTTTTTTTTTTTTTTTTTTTTTTTTTGATTTGGCGGCATGAGAATTTGTAAAAAAAAAAAAGCATTTAACAGCAAATTTGCAAAACACTAGGAAAAAAAGGCAATTTGAAAAGAGAGAAAGACTTAAAGTGAGATTTTGTTGGTCATTGTATTCACCAAATTTTTCCCACACAAAGTTGTTGTCTTCAAAATATTTTTCTTTTCCTTTTCATATTTAAAATAATTTTCTTACCCTTTTTATAATAAAAATAGATATTAAAAAAATAAATCTTGAATTTGAGATCTCAAACTCTTTTACTTGTAAATCACTGAAAAATTATAAATTTAATAATTCAATCTAAATTTTTTTATAAAAATATATTTAAGAATCTATTTATAAATGTAACAAGTCGTGTGTTTATTAAAAAAATATTTATTTTATTTTTTAATTATTTTGGTATGCTGATGTTAATAATAAATTTTTAAATAAATAGTATTTTAAAAGACAATTGTTACTATAACATCAAATAGATTTTAAGTATAACTTAATATATATTTTTTTTAAGTATTTCTAACAATATTTTCTACCATCAAAATCACCAAAAAGATGAAAACAAATTTAAATAAATATTAACAAATATACATTTGCTTAATCAACAAGTGCATCGAGTAAGAATTGGAGCAAGAATATTCTTGAGTTATTAAATGACTGGTTAAGACATAACATGGACAAAGATGTTTTTGAAGTCGAGGTTGTAATATTCTGTATGAAATTGTATATATTACATGCTTAGAACATCTTATCCAACATCCTGCTTAGACTATTTTGAACACAAATTCAATATCTTTAGTTTTTAGTCAATGGGATAAAGACCCATGTTAAAAATTTTGTCATTTAATTGATTTGTGGAACGATCCTCCTATTGACATGTAAAGACTTCATGTTGTCGCCAATTTTTTTTTTTGTGTGTTTTATATTATTTTAATGTGTTATTATTAAAAATAAATTTAAAAAATAAAAAATATTATTTTAATATATTTTTAAATAAAAATATTTTAAAAAATAATCACTAATGCAGTATCAAATAATTTCTTTATCATGTCATGCTCATTTACCTTTTAAAGTTGATTGATTAGGTTCACCAAATTACTTTTATTTAATTGAAAAATAAGTTTTATAATATTTTTTTGATTGATGGAAGTTCTAATTACAAAAAAAAATTAATTTAAAAAAAAAATTTTAATTATATAATTGTTTTTTCTATGCAAAAAACACCGGTAATATCAGGAATGCAACTGGGCATTTTTGGAACAAAAATATACTAAATTAAAGATGATAATCAATATATGTTGGGAGACTATTTAATTATTTATCATACTATATGGACTAATTAAGTGGTCGTGGTAAATTAGAGGGACTGAACTTGACTAGTGTAAAATGAGAGGAAAAGTGATCTAGGCTGCGGAAGATGTGGCATGGCATGTACACGAGAAAGAAGAAGGCCCAACCAATTAAATCCTTTAGCGACCGAATTTTGTAGGTGGCACGATGTGGGTGGAAGGGAACAGCTAACCGAGCGTGCATCACATAGCACCGAGTATGACCAGGGGAATATCTCCAACCGCGAAGCATCTCATTTACCGATAATCTTTTTTTTTTTTTTTTAATCAAACGAAAAATCACTTTTAACTCTTAAGTTTTAGCCTTAGCCTCGAAATTAAAACTCAATTTTCACGTGTTGACTTTGCTTACGCAACCCTTACCCAAACGCAACGGAAGAGCGTGAAAACTCTTCCAAAGATACCATTTGCATACCCACGCTCCACTTTTTACAAAATTTGAAAAAAATAATTCTTGCTTTGATTTTTTTTAGAGTCGTTTTATATGCAATTATTAAAAATAAATTTTAAAAATAATATATATATTATTATCTTGATATATTTTAAAGTAAATATATTTTAAAAATAATCACTTTCATGATATTAAACACAATCTAATATTAAAAAACTTGAAAAGTATTTTTTTCTTAATACAATTTAGATAATGAATTGATTTTAATAAATATTAAATCAATATCTTACACGAATCCTTGTTTATTTTATAAGGTTGTACTGTCAATGGGCTTTGACTTTGTAAGTGGATTAATGTACATCTACTAAAAAAAATAAAGTTTTTACTTGATCTTATAAACAAGAATAGAATAAAATAACCTTAAGCTAACATTTATTGTTAAAGTCAAATCCCATTTATATTAGACTATAAATATATTATGGAATGATGAATGTATATACATAAAAAATATATTTTTATGATATCTTTTAATACTCAAAAAATAGATGATAAATATTTTTTTATTACTATGTAGAAAATATAAGAATTACTTGTCTAGTTAAAATCACATTAAAAAAACGACCCAAATTAGTTTCTTTAACAATTAAAATAATTTAAGGCCTTAAAGTCGTAATAAATAGCACATATTTTGACTCAAGTTTAACTCAAATTAAAACATGATTAATTTTAAACCAAATTTAATAATAAATTTTTAAATCAATCAAATTTAATTTAAAACAAAATATTCATGATTTCATTCAATATATCTTATCACCATGGGTAATGTCACGGGGTCAATTTTTCGCTCTCGAAAACAGACCTCGCGCGGCAGTCTAGTCCTGCTAGACTCAGCCTTTCCCTCACCGATTCACTCGTGTTTTGCCTATGACTAGTTTGTCCCACAAACCCAAGAGATCCCCACACTCTTTCAATGTCCC